AAAAAAAAAAAAAAAAAACATGTGAAAGTGAAAAGTGTACAGGAAAAATAAGGGGCTGCGAAGCAGCCCCATAAGCCCCTAGTCTCGTTTAATCGAAGAATCCCAGTCCTCATTTTACCCAGATGACGGGATCATGAAGTAGTCTCGTTACTACCTACCCGAAAGTGCATTCCGTAACGCCTTCTGTGACATCTTCGCACCGAATGAAACACAAAATAACATTTCTTCGTTACGAAAATAATTTCAGTGATTTCATCTATAACTGTGAATCGCCCGTGCCCTAAAAGCACCTGGATCATCACCGAAGATCAACTAAACTCTCGACTTCAGTGGATTACGGAATTGGAATCGTTTATCCCAACTATCGATTCGTAGGAACCATTCCTACCAGGAGTCCACCCTTTCTCCAATCAGTGTATCAGTGTCACAACATAACTCAAAGTGATCTTTTTTCAAATATAAAGCCTCGTTCGCTAATGATTCTTTCCTGGCGCAGCGAGAACCGCCAGATTTGATCCGTTCTTCCCACTAATTCAACTCGTTTTCCCGGATCAGTTTTTCTTCCCGGAGTCCTTACCCCAGTTTACTCTCCCGATCTGTCGATAATTTGATCATTACAGTGCAGTTATCTCCCCGCAAGTTAGTTTTGACCCGGATAAAGTGCGGTAAAATCAGACTCGATTGTTTTTCATCGTTTTTCCAGATCCGATTTTTCCGAGTTCTCTCCCCCCAGTTTCTCCACCCCTCGGATCTTGGTCAATAACCGTGGTGAGGGTTATCACCCTGCAAGTGAGTTGTGTCCGGACGTCCTAGTTTTTCGGTGCTCATCCAGGATTCCTCCCGATGCCAGGCGTCCACCTCTACGTCAGCTACCCTCGATCCGATTGACAGCCCATTCGGCGAGAGCCTGCTCCTCGCTCGGATGGTCCGAAGCCCCGGGGTCGGTCCAGTCGAGACCAGCTCCTCCTTCCTCGGGAATCTGCGGGACTCGTGACGTAGCCCGGGCGCAGCGGATGTTGCTGGACAAGATGAACTGTCGGCTCTGCGACCTGATGAGCCACGGCCTCCACCACTCACCGGTGGCGCCGCCGACGCCGACGCCCACACCGACGCCGCGCAGCGAGTCGCCGGCGTCGGTGAGCTCCTCCGTGAGCTCGGTCCCGCTCGGGGATTTCGGGATCGGCTCCCTGTCCGCCGCCGGCTCGCTCCTCCATCTCCGGGAGCTCCTCATCAATGCGTCGCTCTACAGCGCAGGTATGTCCATATTCATTCTTCTCTCTAACCGAAGGTTGAAATCTAACAAGGTGTCTACAAGTCCGGAATTTCCGGAAAGACCGGAAATAGGACCGATTTTTCAAGGGCGGTCCGGAAGCACTAAGAAAGTGCGGAAATATTGCAAGAAGGTCCTGAATTTTTTTCATTTCTCTGTCATTTTTGTCGCAATTTGAGCGGGAAATTCAATTTTTTTTAAATTTTTCGAATTTCGTCAATCAGAGGTACTAAAAAAGTACTAAATGTATCTGTTGAGAAGGTACTGAATTTTTTGGTAATGCACTGAAAAAGTACTGGAAAAGTACGGATTTTTGACCAGCGTGTTTTAGTAGACACTCTGTCGAAACAGAGACAAGGGACCCTCCACTGGCCTCTTGGTGACAGGTGGAAGCTTATACCTTTGGAGATTCAACACGTCCTCATGGACAATTGTAAGAGAGCAACAGTCATCACTCTTTTTTCGGCTGTTGACTTACCTACATAGTGGATGATGAACTTCTGGTGATGTCATGAGTCAAACAAGTTTCCCAAACTTTGGCTTGCTTGCAAAACGAAACTGCCAACAAGTTGTTAAAGATCAACCATGTAGGTAAATCAAGAGTTACTTGTTGAGGCCCCAAAAGTAAAAGCTTCCTTAATAGCCGAGATACAAGTGGAGGGTCTCTTGTCTCTGAACCTAAATGTCACCACGACAGAACATCGAAATTCGAGATATTACATGGTAAAGATAATGTGTGACCTAGCTAGCGTGTGGATGGAGCTCCTGCGTGTGTCAGGAATTTGCGATTTAAGGACTGATTCCCATGGACGATTTTGAAAAACGATGGCGCCACTGGTTTTCTTCGAAACGAAGCCCAAAGCTCAAAAAAGCTCTCGAAATAGAGGAGATATCCCACGCTATGTTGAGAGTCCACCTCTACATTGAGTCAAACTCTCCATGCAACGATGGGGAGCAAATACATCAGCGGGGTTGCCGTGGTTCCATCTTGGAGTCCTTAAATAAAGTGGCAACCCTCTCAATGAATTTGCTCCCTATCTTGCATGGAGAGTTTGTCTTGATGTAGAGGTGGACTCTTCTCAGGGTAGCGTGGGATACCCGGACACCTCCTCTATTACGGCCTGAATTTGAAGAGCTTTTTTGACCTTTGGAGTTTGTTTAACAGAAAATCAGTGGCACCGTCGTGTTTTAAAATTTATGTTCGTTTGATGAAGGCGCGGCGTAGTGTTTAAGCGCACATTTTGTCAATCTATCTTGCGGTTTTTTTTTGGCGTTTTTTTTATCACCGACTCTTGCCGTCATGCAATCTTAACCGCAATGAACCTCTTCCTTGTAAAGCCTTTCACACACCTTTTGCTTTTGATTTTTTCCAATCATTTTTTTAATTTTAGTAGACTGCCTGAAACAAATCAGTTGTCCATACCTTGAAATTATCAGCTTCAAATCGACATTTCTTTCCGTGTAATTATTTTGAGTGTTTTTCTCGTAACTTAAGTAATATTTCATTAATTCCTAAAATTTACAACTATACCGTTCAAATGAAGCACTTAGCTTTGTTTAGCAACGATATAATTTTTGTCTCCGTACACGGAAAAAACGANATCGGGACACAAAGCGAAGCCTAGGCGCGTGAGACGGCGTGCGCAAACCGACTGGGAAAAACGACGCGATGCGCACGCGCTCTGCTGCCTCTCCACGCAACCTGCCGTCACTAACTTGCGGTAGGACCCGGCCATACGACGAGTTTAGCGCAGCGAGCTGCATAACTGGAGCGGAGCACTAAACATTGCTCCTCTAAGCGGTGCTTAGTGCCCAACACCAACCTCGTTTTTTCCGTGTACCCCAAGTTTAAAAATAGGGTACGCCGCGGTTGTTTTCCGGGAAGAGGTGCCTCTATAGTGCGAATGTGCGAACGTCCTAACGGTTGTCCAGGCTTTACGAGTAACTGTACAGTAATGGAGTGACTGGTTAATGCATTTGCAATTAGAAATATTTTATTGCCTATCTGTTGCTATGCCAGTGCTTTTAAAACTTACGCGAGCGAATTTTTTCGCGTGGAAAACGAACTCGAAGCCTGTTTTTCTTTTTTATACTTTGAGGAGACGAAGGGGGAAGAAGAGGCTGCAAACTTCAAGAGCAGTCTTGTTTTGCACCGAAATTTAAAAGCCTGTTACGCTACACGCGGAAAATTCTCCGAAAATATCCCCGTTCGTGGAGCTGGAACATTCTCGGCGTCACGATGAAAACTACGCTGATGAGTAGAAGCTTTCAAAGGCCACCGAAGGTATCTGCAACTACTCATGAATAAGTTGAACTCGTGGTTGCCGTTCGGCTTGAGAATATTCTGGGAAATTTAATTTTCAAATTTGCGCCGCACACTTATTTTCTCGAAAATATTTTATTGCAGCTAGTCGACCATTGATCACACGCAATATGCACGCCGACAGTGTTCGAAATCACGTACACTGAAAAAAATGAGTTAGCGTCAGATGACTAAAAATGGTTTCTATACACTAAC